AAAAAAAAAACCCACAAAACTTAGCTGGGCGTGGTGGCGGGCGCCTGTAATCCCAGCTCCTAGGGAGGCTGAGGTAGGAGAATCGCTTGAACCTAGGAGGCGGAGGTTGCAGTGAGCAGACATCTCGCCATTGCACTGCGGCCTGACTGGGCAACAAAAGCAAAACTCCATCTCCAAAAGAAAAGAAAGAAAAGAAAAGAGAAGAGAAGAGAGAAAAGAAAAGAAAAGAAAATCTCAGGGCTATGAAAAGGCACATCGCCATACGCAGGTATCTTAAAAGTTGGGGGCTTCTCACACCTCCCACCTTTCTCCCTGGGTTCTAAACATTAAGCTGCATCTCTTAAACCTTGGTCGTGTTGGAGGCCACACACAGAAGGCCAAGCAAACCGCAGGTTCCGGCCCCCACCCCCGACCGCGCAAGTCACAAGCCACGCCTCTTGCCCCCGCATCTCCTACCAGGCCTGGCAGAGCTCCTCGCAGAGCGGCTGTGCCTGGCGTACCCCCAATAGCCGCAGGTGGAAGCGACTGCGCAGGGCACGTTGCAGGTGTTCCAGAAAGGATTCGCACCTGGACATCGGGAGAGATAGGGTCCGATGGGTCAGGACCTGAGGGGAGTTCCAGGGAAAGTGGGGCAACGTACAGGAGAAAACGCTGGGAGTGCTGTACTCACTCAGGGCTTGGCACTCCACAGCGTTCTGGATAAGTCCTAGGGCCCGATGTCTCTGTTGTGTCCATCTCTGAGGGACAACAAGGTCCTGGCAAAGGGGACCCCTGTGAGCCAGAGTCTTGGATCCTCAGGTAAGGTTTGCGAACTGAGGCCTCGGGATCCCCCAGACAAGGGAGACCCCAATCACACATCAATCCTCACAAACCTGTAACTTAAGACCCTTCCTTTGGAATGCAAATGCAGCTTCAATTAGTAATAATAATTTCTCATTTATAATAATCAGCTTAGTATTTGTCACGTGACTGGTAGTGACACATATGCTTAATATTTTTCCTTTTTTTTGTTTTGAGACAGGGTCTCACTCTGTCACCCAGGCTGGAGTGCAGTGGTTCATCTCAGCTCACTGCAACCTCTGCCTCCCAGGTTCAAGCAATTCTTTTGCCTCAGCCTCCCAAGTAGCTGGGATTTCAGGCACATACCACCTCACCCAGCTAACTTTTGTATTGTTTGTAGAGACGAGGTTTCACCATGTTGGCCAGGCTGGTCTCAAACTCCTGACCTCAAGTGATCCGCTCACCTCAGCATCCCAAACTGCTGGGATTACAGGCGTGAGCCACCGTGCCCTGCTGTAGGTTTAATCTTAACAATAGCTCTTCGCGGTATGCTTGCTATTTCTCTTTTTGGGAGGCCAACGTGAGACTCAGAGAGGTTAAATGACTTCCTCAAAGTCACACAGCTACAAAGTGGCAGAGTTGGGATTTAAACCCAGGCAGTCTCTTAACCATCATCCTTCAGTACTATCCCTGCCTCCCACCCTGGTGGCCATGCTAGGATCCTCTCATAAGGAAATTCTAACATTGCCATGGGAGGGTAGGTGTGGGTTTCTGGGTGTTGGTGTTGAGGTAGGGTCTGGGTTGCTCACCTGCCAGGTGCAGCTTGCCTTTGCCCAGATCAGCTGCCAGCCCATGGTGTCGCTGGGACCTGGCTTGGAGTGGTCGGCTCCCTCCACAGGCTTCCAGCAGGATCCATGCCAGGGTCAGTTGCAGGACCCAGGCCAGGTTGATGGGTCGAATGTGGACCCTGCAGGCCATGTCCACCTGAGATAAAAGCTAGCAGCCATAGGGTGGGGTTCAGCCATCCTTTTCTGTGAGCTCAGGGTGGCACCCACCCGATGCATACCAAGAAGCAGTGCCAGGCAGAGTAGGGAAAGTGCAGCTGAGGAGGAAGCTGGACAGTGGCCCAGGACATTCAAATCCCAGGAGACCACCAGAGCCTGCCTCCAACCTAGGAGACCCCCTCCCATCAGACCTATGTCCTCTCTGTCCCTTTAGTGCCACCACCACCAAGCTTAGACCACAGTGGCCCTCCCCCCATCCAGCAGGATCGCCCACCTTTTTAGTCCTCAAGGGACCCCCTCTTTTCTCAGAATGAAGGGGACCTCCCTAGCTCTTCCAATCCCCCTCTCCTGTTCAGTAATTCCTCCCTCTCTACACAGCCTCCTTCCTCCCTCTTGATCCCTGCTGGCCCCTCTCTGGGTCACCTTCTTTCGGCCCACAATCGGCTTAGGGGCCACCAAGAGCTGGGCCTTTGGGACCAGGCATGGTGTGGCAGGGCTCAGGTTCTGTCACTGGGGCCCAAAGCCCCAGGGCAGAGACAGCTAGGGGTCTGTGGAGACAAGACTATCCCCTTCCTGCCTCCCGGCTTCCAGCCCCTCACCTGTTAGCTGGATTGGGGTCTAGAGGCTGCTAAGACACCTCAGGATCCAGTCGTCCAGGAAACGGGCAGCTGAAAGGGGCGTGGTTTGATACAGGGGCGGGACTTCCCACCATCCCGCCCACACTCCTGCTGACCAAAGGCTGGCCGACTTGGGGCTGGTGTGTATATATGTATATCCTTGTGTTTGCTTTTATGTTGAGCTTGTGGCTAAAGCTCTGTATCTACATATATGGGGAGTGTGTTTGTGTGTTTGTGGAAGTTGTGTGTGTGTGTGTGTAAGGTGTGTTTGTGTGGCCTACAACCTGCGTGTGTTCGGGGAACCTGTGTCTTTTGTTTGTATGGCTATGTGTGTGTTGAGCATGTATGTGTGTGTTTGTTGTGTGAAGTTATGTTTATGTGTGTTTCTTGGTGGTGGATTGGTTGTGTGGGTGCATATATATGTGTACGTTTGGAATCTGGGTGAGGATTGTGTGTCCCAAGCCATGTGTGTACAGTTAAATAAAACATAATCTTAATAAATGCGGGAAGGGGGAATGTAGGATTGGGTTGCTGTCCCTGCAAAAATGTTGGAAGTCAGTGGATAAAGATGTTTTTTCTTTTTTCTTTTTGTAACCTGGAATTCAAAGATAAAGGTTATTGACGGTGAGTGTTGACCATGAGTGAACAAGGAAATGTCGTGTGCTGAACAAGGTGTGTTTGCATGTACACACTTTTTTTTTATTTTTTTTTTTTTTTTTTTGAGACTGAGTTTCGCTCTTGTTACTCAGGCTGGAGTGCAATGGCGCGATCTCGGCTCACCGCAACCTCCGACTCCCGGGTTCAGGCAATTCTCCTGCCCCAGCCTCCTGAGTCGCTGGGATTACAGGCACGCGCCACCATGCCCAGCTAACTTTTTGTATCTTTAGTAGAGACGGGGTTTCACCATGTTGACCAGGATGGTCTTGATCTCTTGACCTTGTGATCCACCCGCCTCGGCCTCCCAAAGTGCTGGGATTACAGGCTTGAGCCACCGCGCCCGGCCTTTTTTTTTTTTTTACTTATTTATTATTTTTTTCTTTTTTAGTCCACCAGCTCATAGAAGCATGTACACAGTTTTATGCCCTTCTGAAGTTTCTGTGAATGTGTGTTGCTTGTCAGGACTCCCTTAACTCATCTATTCATTCAACAAACAGTTATTGAGCTACTGTGTTCTAGATTCTGGGGATGCAGTAGTGGACAAGAAATGAAAATTTCAGCCAGGCATGGTGGTTCACACCCGTAATCTCAGCACTTTGGGAAGCTGAAGTAGGAGGATCATTTGAGCCCAGTAGTTTGAGACCAGCCTGGCCAACATGGTGAAACCCCATCTCTACTAAAAATAATATTTAAAAAATTAGTTGGGCATGGTGACACATTCTTGTAATCTCAGCTGTTTGGGAGGCTGAGGCATGAAAATAATTTGAACCTGAGAAGCAGAGGTTGCAGTGAGCCAAGATTATTCCACTGCACTGCAGCCTGGACAACAGAATGATACTCTGCCTTGAAAAAATAAAAATAAAAGACATAAAAATCTCAACCTTCATAGAGCTGACATTCTAGGGGGAGAATGAGATGAGAAAGACATGCTTGCAGTGGGCATGGGGGTGTGTATCTATGTGTTGTATTATGAGAATAATTTGTGTTTTAGATGAGAATTTGTGTGCAACTGGACATCCCTTGGTTTTGGAACTATGTGACTGTGCTTACATTTATTTTATGTTTATATGTGTTATTTGTGTGTGTTTGCATTTCATGTGTGTATATGTCTGTGTTTCTTAAGTATGTGTTGTATGGCTGCAGAGTGTGAGTTTGTGTGTATCCGTATTTATGGATGTTTGCATGTATTTGCTGAGTATGTGTTTATACATGTATTAATTTGCAGTATGTGTGGATCTGTGTTTGTGGAGTATGTTTGCAGAGTATGTTTGAATATATGCGTGTGTGTTTGCTGGGCATGTGATTGTATGTAAGTGTTCGTGTGCCTCTCATCTCAGGGCAAGAGAGGCTTTTTGTCTGTCTCTTTTATTGCTGTACTCCCTCCTAGATCCCAAAACACTACATTGCACAAAGTAGGTGCTCAATAAGTGGTGAAAAAGTGAATAAATCAGTAGACACTGTCTCTGGGTCCCTCTGTGTGCACCCAGTGATGTGCTGGAGGCCTCCGTAAGCAAGATCTGCTGGACCTAGCTTTCCCCTGGTCCATCTTGAGGTGGTCCAGGATCCTTGTGGGTCAGATCTGTTCAGCCTCTGGGCCATGCCTCACGCCAGAGCCTCCGTACCCTCTCTCCTTCCCTAATCTGAGCCCCCGACCCTGCGCTTGGATTTCAGCACCGCGGACAGGAGCGTGCGAGGCCAGCACCAAGGAGAGCTCCCGCGGTCGCCGTCGTGACAGAGGTCGCCAGGGGCGGAGTCCCGGCCATGGACGGAGAGATGTGGGAGCAAGGGACTCAGGGAGACGGCGACACAAACGTGCCAACAAACATATAGTGAGACAGAGATAACCCAGGCAAAGGCGCGGACTTGAGACGACAAGCTCCTGGGGAAAAACACGGACCCAGGTTCGCCGTCATCCCCGTCGTCCATCAGGGGTCGCTCTTACCCAGCGACCGCGCCCTCCAGGACCTTGGGGCCAGATACTGGCCACCACCCCTTGGAAAGCCCTTCTGTCCCCCAATGCCAGGACTTGGAGTGCTGAGGGCTCGGACACTCTCCAGCTTCGGGAAGCATGGTGGGTTTGGCCTCATCTGTGTGAACAGGGAGGAGCGTCGAGGGAGGTGAAAATCCCTTTAACTGCCCCACTCTCCAACTATCAGCTAATCGCTCCTATAAATACAGACGGCCTGGCCTGGCTCCTTAATCCTGACCGTGAGGGAGGGGTCGCTAGAGGGGCTGCAGGGTTCCCTGAGGCGACTCTGATTGCGGGGGTGGGGGGCGTAATATGCATGCACATGTTTTTCTGAGGTTGCATCTCCCATGAGGACGGGTCTCCTCAGTGAAAATGTCACTCTGTATGAATGACATCTCTCCTGGAGCTGTGGAGGTCTCATGGGTGGGGACAATTTCCCACAGAGGATATGGGTTTTAGGGGTCTCTCATTGGGGGTATCCTCCCCAGGGTCTCCACGGGAATTGCCACTCTTGGGATCTTTATCTTCTGGTAATGCCTCTTCCATGGGCAGGGGAGGTGACTTTTGAGAGGAATGTCAGTCAGGGACCATCTCTCTTAGAAATGATTTTCAGGGTTGGGGGAGTTCTTGATTGGAGAGGGAGTCCCTGTGGAAACTATCTCCCCTTGGGAATGTGTCTCACCAAGGGGGTCGCCGGGGCAACGACAGTAAAGGGAATGTATCTCAGGGAGAAGTCTTCCTTTGGGGTGTTTCTTGAGTGGGGGTTCTACCCTTGAGAATGTCTCTCCCCTGGGGTATCTCTCTTTATAGGGGTCTCTTGGCAGCTTGGCTCCCATGGGGGCATCAGAAGGCTCCGCCCCCCCGACCGCCCCTTCCCCCCCAGCGCGGGCAGCGATGGCTGAGCCCGGTCTCGGGCGCCCAGACGCAGTGACGGCGCCGGGCCCGCCCCACTTCGCTCCGCCCCCGCCATCCCCCCCAAGCCGCTGCCGCCGCCGCCGCCGCCGCCGCGGTCCCCGCGGCTTCTCACTCCCTCCCTCCTCCCACCTCCCGCCGCCGCCGCCTCCCTCCTCCCTCCCCTGGCCGAAGTCGCCGCTGCTGCCGCCATGGACGATTCGGGCCTCATCCGCCGCCGGAGGCTGCAGGTACGCCGCTGCCTGGGCCCCGGGTGGAGAGCAAGAGGTCGGCGCCCTGGGCGGAGCCGGGCAGGAGGCGGGAGAACTTGCACCAGGGTCGGCCGGGCGCCCCCTCCCATGGGCTCGGGACGCTAACCGCGGGGAACGCAGTAGCGGCGCGTCCTGCCGCGCTGGGGACCCCGCCCCTCAGGCGCCGCCCTGTGATCCAGGGAGCTGCCGGAGTGGGTGCAGCCTAGCGCTCCACCTCGAGGATCGCCTGAGGGGCGCCTGGCCCGCCCTAGGGGGAGGGGGCTGCGGCCGAAGTCATCGCCCTGGCTTCTCGCCAGGCTGGGGGTGAGGGGACGCGAGCAAAGTTATTGCCCTAGGGCTTGCGCCCCTCGGGGCCACCGGCGCCGCTGCAGGTATAAACATGTTTGTGCTGCAGCCTCGCCCCTCACCACCCCAGGAGCCCCCTCCCGAGGCACAGGACGCCCTGCGTCCCCCACGCACCTGCCTGGCCATCAGGATTCTTCCTACTGCCCTAATTGGACAGGCACCTAGACAGCTTTCTCACTCTTCATTCCACCTCCTCCACTACAACATCCACCCCCCCACCGCGATCCTCAAGTCCAGCCCAGCTTGTGGGTGGGCGGGAGCGATTTTTAGCTCCTTGCAGCCTTAGACGATACTGGTCGCGAGGCTGCGCAGGCGCAGAAGGTGTGCGTCCACTGCACAGAGTGGGACACTGAGGATCGCTATGGAGTCTGGGGAAGGCGGACACGAACTCAGGTGTCAGGAGGTCCTGCCTCCAAGGTGGGGAGGGATTCTGAAGCCGAGAAGGGTCCTCTGCCTGTCTTCAGCTGCGCTTCTGAGGGGTGAATACGGAAATTCAGGGTTAATACGGAGGTTCGGTGCCAAACATCCCAGAGGGGAAGGTGATGATAGCTGCGCCCTAAGGCTCTGCCTAGGGTCTGGCCCTTCTCAGCCTCCTTGGAGCTCAGCCCCAGGCTTGGTAATCTGGAGTTCAGATAAAGCCAAGAATGGGCCCAGGCTTAGGCTCCATCCGCAGCCTGAGTCTTGGGAAAAGAGGATTCAAACCCTCACCTAGGGCTTCGTCCATTTCTAGACTCCCCCACTATTCCCGAGGTTGAAAACCAAGGGATGCTGATAGGTCAGTGCAGCAGGAAAAATGGTGATCAGACGGCAGGAAGGACCTTCCAGGCGTCTGGATAATGCTGGAACCAGACATGAGTTGGAAAACTAATTTACTTTCAGAACCCAGATGGTCCGATCTCCGGAGCCTAGGCCTCTCTGAAGTGCTCCCCGCATTCTCTCCCCCTCCCAGGGGTGGATTAGGAGAGTGGGTTCCGGGAAAAGGAAGGCAGATGAGACAAAGTTAAATAAAGTGCTGCAGCAGCCTGGCTGGGTCCGCGCCGTCGGGTCTGAGAAAAGGCAGGAAAGAGGCGGGGACTGCACGGTGTGTCGCCGCCCTCCGGGCCGGCGTCAACTCTCATTGGCTCAGCGCCACGCGGGACTTTAGACTCCTGCTCCAGACACAATCCCCAACCCGGGATGCTTCCACTCACCCACCCAACCAGAGGCGTGCTCTGGGTCCGGCGACCCCTGTCGGAGTCCCGTGCCCACTGCTTCCCTTCTGGCAGGTTAACCACTTCGCTGCCTGGATGCACCCACACACATCGTTGCAAGCTCTTAGGAATTGCCGCATCGCTGCCGCACTAGCATGCCCTGTGTACAGCTGGGATTTTTTTTTTTTCGAGAGGGAGTCTCGCTCTGTTGTCCAGGCTGGAGTGCATTGGCGCAACCTCCGCCTCCGGGATTCAAGCGATTCTCCTGCTTCAACCTCCCAAGTAGCTGGGATTACAGGCGTGCGCCACCACACTTGGCTAGTTTTTGTATTTTTAGTAGAGAGGGGGTTTCACTATGTTGGCCAGGCTGGTCTTGAACTCTCCTGGCCCCGGGTGATCCACCCTCCTTGGCCTCCCAAAGTGCTGGGATTACAGGTGTGAGCCACCGCGCCTGGGGATCTTATACATAGATAGCATCCTGAGTTCGAATGCCCTCTCTGCAGTGTCAGCTGTTAATCCTGTGCAGGAGAAGCAGAATCCACTACGCAGAGCAGCTCTGCAGCTAAGGTTGGAGGTGGCGTCTGTCTACACTGACGCCAAAGATCCGAACTTCTGCCGCTCCAGCATGACCCTTTTTTCGTCCCTAGAATGTTCGGGGGCGCTAGCGAATGGGGCTGGGTTCGAGGACTTCTTTGGCTAGTGCTTAAAAGCCCCCGTTAAGGACTTCTTCGGGTGGTGCTTAAAAGCCCCTCAATGGGCTTGCCCTCCAAGGCCGGGTTACCCGGGTCTGGACCCCCTGGGCTCTGTGGACATAAAAATCCAGGTCTTGATTTTGCTTGGGCCATTGAGGACACACAGCCAGGTCGACTGCTCCTAGCTGCGGCTCATTCACGCGAATCATGCAAGGACAGAGGGAAAACCTGGTTTGGATTACCGGTCACCGGTAGCTCAGGAGGGCAAGGCTGCCCTTTGGCCTTGCCTATATGTTTGTCTGTTGTACAAGGGGGTGGGATGACCCTGTGGCCCATCCTCTGTCATGCAGCATGTCCCTCCTTAATAACTCCTGTTCTCAAGACTTAGTATTTATTGAGTGCTTGATATGTGCTAGGCACCATGCTAAGGGGCTAGGCATCTGCATCAACTCACAAAATCCTCAAGGAGACACGGAACTATTGGAAGGTCATTTGCCAAGGTCATAAAAGGCAAAATTGAGATTTGAATCTAGGCTTTTCTGCTTTTAGAGATCCTGGAAATAGTCTAGAACAAGAGTCCTCTCCAAAGACCTTTTGAAATTCTCCCTCAAATCTTTCTATCTGCAGCCCCACTCAGCTTCCTTCCACCTCACCCTGTGGATAGAAAACAGGCTGGAAAGTGCTGCCTTTGTCCTCCATTCCTTTCCTCAGAAAAGGGGCAAGACCCCGTATCTCCTGATCCCTACAGCGACTTCCTGAGAGCTTGACAAATGGAACGTGACCTTCTTCAAATGTAGACACATAAAGTTAATAGCCACTAATTATTATTATTGTCATATTTAAAATGCCCACGTGGTCATCACCTGACTTTCCATTTTATTATTTTAATTTAATTAATTTATTTTTTTGAGATGGAGTCTCGCTCTGTCGCCCAGGCTGAAATGCAGTGGCAGGATCTCGGCTCACTGCAACCTCCACTTCCCAGGTTCAAATGATTCTCCTGCCTCAGCCTTCCAAGTAGCTGGGACTACAGGCGCCCACTAGCACGCTTGGTGAATTCTGTATTTTTAGTAGTGACAGGGTTTCTCCATGTTGGTCAAGCTGGCCTTCTAAAGTGCTGGGATTACAGGCATGAGGCTGTAATTTTTGTATTTTTTGTAGAGACAGGGTTTCACCATATTGGTCAGGCTGGTCTAGAGCTCCTACCTTGTGAATCCACTCGTTTTGGCCTCCCAAAGTGTTGGGATTACAGGCTGAGACACTGTGCCAAGCCAGCGATTTGTTTTATTTATTTTGAGATGGAGTTTCACTCTTGTTGCCCAGGCTGGAGTGCAATGGCACGATCTCGGCTCACCACAACCTCCGCCTCCTGGGTTCCATAGATTCTCCTGCCTCAGCCTCCAGAGTAGCTGGGATTACAGGCATGTACCAATAGCTAATTTTGCATTTTTAGTAGAGACGGAGTTTCTCCATGTTGGTCAGGCTGGTCTGGAACTCCTGATCTCATGTAATCCACCTGCCTCAGCCCCTCAAAGTGGTGGGATTACAGGTGTGAGCCACAGAACCCAGGCTTATTTTTTAATTTTTTAAAGCTTTTATCTTTTTTTTTTTTTTTTAATTGAGACGGTGTCTCACTCAAGCTGTGGTGCAATCATAGTTCACTGTAACCTCGACCTTCTAAGCTCAAACTATTTTCCCAACTCAGCCTCCCCAGTTCCCATTTTAAATCTCAGTTTTGAGTCACTCTACCTACATACCCCCTACCCCAACTCTGTGACTCTACCTGGCAGTCAGATAGATCTGTTGAGGTGTAGATGAGTCATTTATTCATTCAGCTTT